GCATGCATGCAAAAAGTTTCCAGTTCTCAAAACTATTTTTTATAAATGTTTAATTTCTTATAAATTAAACTAAAACCCAGAAGTGAAGAGGTACCTGAACCCAAATGGGTAGTCAACTTGTCCAGCTGCCCACTATCCACTGCAAAACACAATATCCTCCAAAAAGGCCTCAATGGCAAGCCAGTAGTTTGGTGGTGTTAAAACTCAGAAATGCTTCTATCAAGAACAGGACTGTATTCAGATGCAAAATTTAACTCAAAGAATACTCCAAGTGTTTGGTTACTTGGACAGCAAAACACAGTATGTTGTTCTACTCCCAAGCCCTACTGCTATACTGAAACATTTGGTAAACACAAAAAATTATCAAGGGTATGTTGCTTTACTGCTTCCCAGAAGCATCTGGTTGGCCACTGTGGAAGCAGAGTACTAGACTAGAAGGATTTGGGGTGAGATGCAGCATTAGGCTTTATATTATTAATAGAGATTAAAGGTCATAGATATGTATGGGACAATCTTCCAACAAAGGACAATGCAATAATTAATTCACCAGCTGCCACAGCCAATCAGTTTATTGAAGGCTTCAAGATCATAACTTATGTAATAGTTTAAAAAATCTACTAACAGAAAGCTGCTCAAGGTTAAATAAGACTAAGATTCCAAAGTATATAAGCAAATAAATGGTTTTGGGTGACCTGAAAGACTGAATCCCATGTGATTCAATTTCCAGATTAATAAATAAACAGCAATAGAGAATTTCAGGTGAGTTACGATATGTATCTAATCCTGAAAGCACCTCTTTAGAAGATTAGGTTCAGAGTGTATAATTTGCATCATAGCTATTATATTTTTCATATCTTGAACAAATAAACTCTATCCATTAACAATGTGTTCAAGAAAGGAGAGTCATATCAATACACATTTTTAATATTCATATGCTATAACAGTAGGAAAATTGAAAAAAAAACACATTTCAGGAACCAGAAATAATTATTTATATAGTAGAACTATAGCAAAATA